CTGGTCTCCCAGTTTTCTGCTTGCATTTCATAGAATTATAGAATAGCCTGGTCGCAAAGGACCACAATGCTCATCTAGTTTCAAACCCCTGCTATGTGCAGGGTCGCCAACCACCAGACCAGGCTGCCCAGAGCCACATCCAGCTTTGGGGCAGCCACATCCAGGGATGGGACACCCACAACCTCCTTGGGCAACCTGTTCCAGTGAACACTGATATGTTTAAAGAGCATGTAAAATGCAAAGGAAAGAGGGAGCAAAAGAAAAATCCCTCATTCTCCTTCACTATCTGATAAACAGCTCATAGAAAAAGCCAAGTCAAGGTATCAGTTACCCTACAGGCAGATACTGAGACACTGTTTACTGCAGGTTGTTCACCTGAGCTGGTCACTAGCTGGGCACCTGGCAAACTGCATTTTGGCAGTCCTGAATCCCTCTGGAGAGTTTCTGGATCAAATAGCTGCAAGCAGTGACCTGGCCATGAGCAGAAACTGAGGAAAGAAAATGAAGTTGTAGGAGAACCTTCTCGAAAATTTACTCTTTCCACATCTGGCCTTTCCCCTCCCTTCCTCGTCACGTAATTAGATGATCTTAGCGGTCTTTTCCAACCTTAATGACGCTATGATTCTCTGCAAGGCATCCTCCCTTTAGCCTCCAGACAGGAATAATAAAGAAACCACAACACCATCTGTGTTTCCGAGGAAGCCTGAGGAGTGACTACAGAAGTCCGTGCCCCTTACTTCAGACACAAAAACCAAAAACACAAACCGTGCTCAGCAGCCTTGCTTTACAATGGGACGATCTGCACATGGATGGACGAGGCAGAGAGCTTCAGGCCATGGGTGCTGCTGCAGGGGGCTGGAGGAGCAGCATCCAGCTCACTGAGCTGTGATGTACTCAGAGACTTGCACTGAATGCAGATCTTCATCCACCACAGCCTTTATTCCTGGATGGGTTTTGGGTCCCTATTGCTTTTGAAGCCTGGGAACCTTCACCTCAGCTCTCTAGAGCCAACATCAGTGTTGCTCGGCTGCCTCTGTACCACCTCCTGAGTGACCATTCTGCCATTCTTCCATTGCAGTTCTGTCTCATGTGGGTCCTGACACAAAGCAGCTACACCATTGCCTCCCTCTTGGATGGGTCTCTCCTGCCTACACCCTTCCCAAAATGTCATCGCTTCACCCCAGACCATAATCCCCTTTACCTCCGACCCTTCTGATTTAATCTAGCTCCAGCAATAAACAAAATCCAGCACATCCTCTCCATGCACACCTGAAGCCACTTCTCAGCATCCTCAGGACTGCAGCCCTTGCTCTGCTGCTTTCCATTCGAGCGTCCTCATTCCATCCCCCTTTCAAAAAACTGGCTGACCAAGTGTTTTATTTCTTTGGCTGGAGCCCTTCTTTTCTGCTCTGGATTTAATTGTCCAGTTGTAACAGCCAAGAATTTCCAAAACCTGATGGAAAATTAAAGAACCAGTGCAGGAGTAAAACCACTCCAGCCTTGGAGAAGGCTGCTTTCATTTCCTGCCAGCCATCCTCTTTCAGGCACTGGGAGCAAATAGCTTTGTGCCTTTCCAACCACTAAATCCCTCCCTTGGACCCATAATGGGGGCACAGCTCAGCTACACCTAGTTCCAGCTATTGAAATGACGACAACGGCCTTCATCCCACAGGAACTGACCCCTCTGCTGTAGCAGGGGCTGGTGGAAGTGTTGATGACATGTGGACATCGGTGACCGTGACAACTTTCCAGTGGTGTGTGCTGAAGCCAACGCAGAGGCAGAGATGGAGGGGTGTGAGCTCAGGGATGGGACGTTGCCACAGTGCTCAACCCAATGGAGAAGTCAAGGGTTATGTGGAGGGGGAATTAGGCTTTGCTTTGGGGTAGTCCTATCAGACTATCAAGGGGGTGTAGGGTGGTTAGCCAGAACACTCTGCATGTCAGCATATCCAATGCAGTCGTGACACAGTAATCCTGCAGTTGTGATACGATTGCTGGGCTTCACAGAAACAAGAAATGGGGTTCTAGGACCAAGGGTCATCAAGGAGCAGTGCAAATGGCCCCCTCTTGCAGCTCTTATAGAAACATAGAATGGCCTGGGTTGCAAAGGACCACAATGCTCATCCAGTTCCAACCCCCTACTATGTGCAGGGCTGCTAACCAGCAGACCAGGCTGCCCAGAGCCACATCCAGCCTGGCCTTGAATGCCTGCAGGGATGGGGCATCCACAACCTCCTTGGGCAACCTGTTCCAGTGCATCATCACCCTCTGGGTGAAAAAATTCCTCCTAATATCCAACCTAAACCTCCCCTATCTCAGTTTAAAACCATTCCCCTTTGTCCTATCACACACACCCCAGCCCATCACTGGCTCCATCCATCCTGGCCAGCTCCAAGACAAGGTCTGTTCTCCCATCTGCTCCAGTTACTCCTCAGATTTCTGATAAGTCCTTGCTTATGGCTTTTTGGGAGCTTTTGCCTATAACTTAGTGAACTACAAATTCCAACACTTTTCATTCCTATCCCTGCAAATACCACGAAAGAAGAACAGGAGGACCTTGGACTATGCAATAGGCAGAGCAGGGTCAGATGTACATCCCTGGGCAGGTCTGTTTTTAAGAAGCAATTACTGGCAAGGGAAGAGGCAAACCCTGCATTCCTCAGTGAAGGAATCTGGATGATGTCACCTCCTGTCTGGGCACAGGAGCATTCCTGCATCAGGCAGCCCCTGTCCGTGCTACAAATATTTGTGTTGGCCTCTCTGTTGGAAGCTTCCCTTTACAAGGAATATCAGCAGGATGGACCCTCCTGCTGCATGGCTCGTTTCTGCCTCCGCACATTAACAAGGGCCACAGGTTAATAGAGGTTTCACACATACCAGAGTTTTACTGCTCCAGTGAGCCAGTCTCAACCAAATTAACTCAGCTCTTTAGTATAGAGGCACAGAGCTGTGCCTCCAGTCCTGTGGATTTCTCTCCCTCCCTTTCTAGTGGGACATAATGGTGTAAAGCACATCAGGATCTTTCCTCATCAACTGGCTGGGGATAAAGCACCCTTTTCCCCAGATGGGGAGGCTCTGCAGATGCTTCCAGGAAAAGGGCTGTAAGGGTATGGGGCAAGTGGTGCAAAGGCAGGACCACATGCAGCACAGTGGCTTCTCCCCAATAAGGACTGATGTGAAAACAGGAGGGGTTCTTTCAGCAGAACACCTGCCCCAGTCCCTGACCACACTCTGTTGTGCCCTCCAAGGTGAGACCCTTCACAACATTTCAGGTGGGATCCTAAAGTGTCCTTTAGGATGCTTGGGTGGGATTTCATTGCCTGCATTTAGGTGCTGAGTAGTCACCCTTTGGAGCTCAGCTAGGTACAACAGGAGAGGGGTCACCCTGCCTTCAGCAGAAGACTGCAGAAGGGCAGCAAGATGCTTTCTGTGGGATGTTTGTGAGCTTTGATTCCTCCAGACCCCACAGATGTTGATGGGGTCCCCCTAAATTCTCTCATTTTAGTAAAACCTGAGTTGTGCCACTGAGATCCTAGCAACTTCACAAAGTGAGAAGGTAAGGGGGATGGAAGTGATTTGTCCTTATACCAGCAGAAGGTGCTCCCCTGTATGAATATATAGATGAGCTGGCTTGCTTTATGTGACAGCACTTTTGAGCAATCATTTTTGGAGGTTCCCCAAACCAGTGCCTTTTTGCTGACCACGTTGTCCTGCTAGGTCAGAGGCTGCAGGCAGGCAGTGCCCTGGGCACTGCAGTCTGGCCTCCTTGGGCACAGGACGTAGCTGTCATTGGTGTCCCAGTTTCACTGGGACCAGTGGGTGAAGTCCCCTCTCCACCTCCTCCAATGGGGCTCTCACTCCACTCCCTAAATCAGCTCTTTCCCAAATGACTGCAGGTCTTTCAGCAGTGCTCTGTTGTTATGAAACTCCAGCTGTAAGAGGTATCAGCAAATATTTCAAGCCGTAGACAAACTACACCCCGCCAACATAAACACTCTGAGATGCTTGATACAAATCACTCAAACTGCTGCTAAAATTTTCTGGACTGGCCAAAAAGTGCTGTGACCTGCCTGGAGGCTCCAGGACTGCAGGTCTGAGTTAAAAAGAGCACTGTCAGTCCAAACCTTGCAGTATGGCAGCTGCTGGGAGCAGAGCTTTCTTCTCATCCTCCCACCTTGGGATCTCCGGGCAAGCTCTGCTCCTGAAGTATCAAATAAATCAGTTCCACACCCACACACATCCTGACCAGCATGTAAAAAACCTCACATGTTTTTGCTGCTAGACATCTCTTGCAGAAAGCTGCCTGCTCTCCTCTGCTGCTCTCCTAGTCTCGCTGCCCTGAGGAGTGGGGATGTCAGCTTTTTTCATCCATCTCCTTCCATTTTCTAGGGCAGCCATACAACAGCATCTAGAAATAAGCTTTTCTTACAAATGAGCCTCTCATGGGCTCCTCAGGAGAATCATGGAATCATTCAGGTTGGAAAAGGCCACTAAGATCACCAAGTCCAGCTGCTGACACCCATCATACCTGCTGACCACATCCCTAAGTGCCACATCCCCATGGTCCTTGAACACCTCCAGGGTTGGTGACCCCACCAACTCCCTGGGCAGCCTATGCCAGCCTATGCCAGTGCATCACCACTCTTTCTAAGAAGAATTTCTTCCTAATATCCAACCTGATAGTGCCCCCGCTCATTTAGAGGATCAAAGCAGGAGATCAAAACCTTCCCAAGGGGCTCCTTAGATTAGAGCTACACACCACATACAGTCCAGTCCTCCCCTATTGGCCACTGAAACTTTCTCCAGTCTCAGGGCAGAAACATCCTCACTCAAACTCTATAGCACCCTGCAGAGCCAAGATGGAGTTATTTTGGCCACAGGTCTCACCCAAGAACACACCAAAAGAGCAGCAACGCAGACAACATCAACCCCAGGACATCTGGCAGGCCAACAGAAAAGACACATCTCCCAAAACCACGAGGATGTGCAGTCCATCTCACCAGGGGATGTGTGCTGGAGCTCCGCCGGCCCAATGGATCTCCTCATGTCTACACCAGGACGCTGGGCAGTCCTCCATGCCTTGGTCACAGTGATGGAATGAGTCCTGCTCAACCAAACGCCGTGTCCATCCCATGTGAGCATCTATTCCTGTTCAAACAGGAGCCAACCAGCTGGCTTCTCCAGCAAAGGTCTTCTGGATAGAGCAGCAAGCCCAGCAAAGGAAGGGGGGTGCACACACCCCTACCTCTAGGCACCTGCTTCACCCTTGCTCACATCCAGGTGCTCCCACTCTGTCCCCAACACACGAAAAATACTTTGCCTGAGTTGCTGGTAGCCTGAGAGCTCCCACCTCATGCTAAGCCAAGCCAAGCACCTCGTCATCATTCAACAAAGCCCCATTGAATGTCAGCCTTCCCCTCGTGCCCTTGGAGAAGTGGCTACATCAGGGACAGGCTGCTCCTCCCCAGCACCACATCGCCTTGGGAGCAGCAGGAGGACTGTGTGAGCCAGCAGCCTTTCCAGAATGAGCACTCACAGCCAGGATATCTCAAGTGGCTGAAAGCTGAAAGATCCCTGCCTGGGAGCAGTATTTCTGAGGGAAAGCATTCATTTCCTTTCTATCATCAACGTGGCATTGGGATGGGGGGCTGATCTTGCAGGCAACCCCCCTGCTACAGAATATCCTGAGTTGGACCCACAAGGAACATTGAGTCCAACTCTTGAAGCTGAATGTGGGGAGGGAAGCAATGTGCAGGGCAGATGGATAGGCTTTGGAAGGGTGATGGCACAGGGGGCTGCAGACAGCAGAGCCTGCAGGTCAAAGCACCTCATCTGGAGGGCCTGCATGGCTGGTAGGATTCGGTGTCTGCAGGAGAGACACTGGTGCTTACGCAATGTCCCAAACATCTCAATTGAACTTAAACAGCCAGCCCCAGCCAGAGGAAAGCACAGGCTGCTCATGCTTCAGAAAACCCCAGGGACATGGCAGAGTCTCACACAGCTCCCCAAAATACTCTCTGGGTGAGGGAATGCACGTCTGCTCTTGCACTGTGTCACCATGCAGTGACTCCTCTCTCTGGCTAGGCAGCCTGGGAGGGAAACAAGGACACGAGCTTTGCAGTAGGCCCAGTTAACTGTTTCTGTCTGTCAAAGAGGAGGAAATGGCTGAGCAGAGCAGCCAGCAGCACCATCGTCCCCAGCAGGAAAAACGGGATGGTAAAAACGTGCCTGAAAGAATTTGGCTCAGGAACCAGCAGCAGGTTTCCAAAGCAGAGAGCATTGGATGCATGGGTAGGGCCATTTCCCAGGCTGAGTATCACTAGTGGTTATTGTTGGATTTACTGCATCAGATACCCAACGACATGGTCCTCAAAAATACTTTTCAGCCACCGTGAGGAACGGCAGCATCCCGCTCAGCCTGCAGGCTTGGATATTAGCAAGAACTTCTCTGAAAGTGTGGTAATGCAGTGGTATGGGCTGCTCAGGGAGGTGGCGGGGGGAGAGGGGGGTCTCTGTCCCCGGAGGTGTTCAAGAACCATGGAGATGTGGCACTTGGGGAACACAGACAGCAGGCAAAAGTGGCAGGTGAACGCTGAGACGTGGATGATCTTAGAGGACTTCTCCAGCCCTAATGGTTCTATTATTCCAAGGAGGTTGTGGATGCCCCATCCTTGGAGGCATTCAAGGCCAGGCTGGATGCGGCTCTGGGCAGCCTGGTCTGCTGGTTGGAGACCCTGCACATAGCAGGGAGTTGGAACTACATGGTCATTGTGGTCCTTTTCAACTCAGGCCATTCTGTGATTCTATGTTAGGGTGCTGGCTCCCAGCTCCTCTGTTCCCTAAAATTCCCACCCTGCAGCTGCAACCTGCCCCTGGGCAGGAAGCACAGCAGGAACATCCCAGCCCTCCTGCTGGGAAGGAAGCAGGAGATGCTTGGGGCCGGCAGTGATGCTCCAGCTCGGCTGCCCGCCATGAGCTGCGTTTCCGGGCCATGTTCCCAGGTTCTATCTGTTTATGTCCTGCTGGTGGGAGAACTATGTCAAGACAGAGCTAATCCTAGTGGAGAGGGCAGTAATACGGCCTCACTGCCTGTCCTGACCCTGTGGAGCAGCTCATAACCATGTGGAAGGATCTGGGGGACAGGGGGTCTCTTGCTTTGTTGGCTCACAACAGAGGAAGCTGAGGAGAAGCCTCACGGCCCTACAGCCCCTCATGGTGGCCTGTAGTTCCATAGCAGCCACCTCATGGCTAGACTCAGGGATCCTTGAGGGTCCCTTCCAACTCGTGGTGTTCTGTGATTCCAAGAGAAGAGGACAAGCTTGCTAATGTGTACAGCTGCTTCAGGGGAGGTTCTACAGAAGATGGTCCCAGTTCTCCTCAGAAGTGGAGAGTGAAAGGATAAGCTACAGTCAGAAAAAATTCAACCTAATATGAAAAAAATCATTTTCTCCATGACAGACACTGGCACAGGGAGCTGGTGGAATCTCCACCCTTGGAAATAACTCATTTGGACAGGGCCTTGGGCAATTCCATCCAACAAAGTTGACCCTGCTCTGAGACCACCCAAGGAACCTTCAGCCCCTGTCACCCTGCAATTGCACACATCACCCTCACCATTCCTGTCTGCCCCCTGCCCAACATCCCTCACACACAAAGGGGGGCTGGGCTGCCTCCTCAGGACACTGCTCTGCCCCAGAGAAGATGTCCTCAGGAGAGGACACAAAGGTTGCAGAGACCCTTAAGTCATTACCCAAGTGCTTGGGTTGCCTATACAGAGCCTCAGGGACAGCCCAGGGCTCTGGGGGCTAGCAGCACTGGGGTCCCAACCTCTGGGAGGGCAACCAGAGAGCTGAGGGGATACACCACCATGCCAAAAAACATCCCCAAACAACACCTGATCCCTCTGCAGAGACAGAGATAGATAAATTGCTCCAGCAAAGTTAGTAGTGAAACAGTAATTTCACTTCTTATGCCTTAATTTACAGGGGAGGAGTGAAACAGGGATCCTCGTTTTCTTCCCAGTTCCATATCCCCATTCTCTACGGGTTGCACAGACAGCATTCAGCAGCCTTGCAGTCTTTCCTCTTTTTCTGGCAACGAGGAGCAAAAACAACAGCAATCTACATGGCCGGTCACCAAGTTCTCCAAGCAACAGACCAGGTCAAAGGGAGCTGCTCAGCCTTAAAAACGACCCTTGTGCTGCTTGGATGAACCTCAGGTGGAAGAGCTCCAGACAAGCCATAAATTAGGAGTGAGCTGTGCTGGGGGAGCAGAGCCTTCAGCGCGCGCCGTGCTCCACCTCTGCTACAGGGGAAGGAGGGGTTTCCTTATGACATACACTGACAAACATCTGCTGGCATTTCTGTCTTGGAGAACACCCAAGGACTGTCTCAGAAATAGCTCGCGTAGTTTGCAGGAGTTCCTTCCTTGGGATGCTTTCTAAGGAGGCTTTTGGTGGAAGACAGATTGCCCTCCTGTGGCACTGCAAGGGAATTTGGGCAGAATGAGAAGGTGCCTGTGGGATTTTGGGATAGGATTAAAGGTTACCCTTTTTGGGTGAAGGTTAAGGGTTAGACACTTGAGTTAGGGTTAATGTTTAATCGTAACCCTTCTAGATTAGGGTTAAGGGTGAGAGTTAAGGGTTAAAGGATAGCATTTTGGATTTAGGTTTAAAAGTTCTTTTTGTTATTTGGATTCAGGGTTAAGGGTTGCAATTTGGATTAGGGTTCTACTCTCCTCCCCATTGGTTGATCAGGGACATGATTTAGTGGAGAGTTGTTAGAATTAGGGTACTATGTTAGGTTGTGGTTGGATTTGATGATGTTTAAAGTCTTCTCCAATGTGAGCAATTCTATGATTCTATAACTGGGGTCTGGACCCTTTGCTCGCAGCCTGCCAGCACAGAACATGGCTTTCTCCTACACAGCATGGATTAAATGAAGTTATTAAGACTTCATATACCAACTTCTTTGGTATAGATGAAATGGACATTCAGGGCTGGAAGGGAGAAATGCCTCCCCTCCATCTGGGACCAGCAGGACTCAAGAGAATCCTTCCAGCATTCAGGGAACCCATCTGGACACATGTTAGTTGCAAGTTCACTATGCCCACCCCAATCACATTCACTGTGATCATACCAGCGAGTTGGGGAGAGGAGGGATGTAGCTGAGGGTCACCCACCAACCAGGGGGGAAGGTGATCATTTTTCCATGAGGATGAAGACAATAAAGGCTATGGAAATGCAACAGCATCTTTAAGCTAGGTCCATCTAAGGATCTAGAGGCATTAACAAGGGATGACAAACTGAGCTCACATCCTTTAAAAAAAAAAAAAATAATAATAATACCACAACACAAAAGCACCTCACAGAGAACATCATCCCCTCAATGGACCTTTTGTCCTTAGGTTAAGGGCAGCAGCTGCAAAACTGCAGCTTCTGCTGGGCTGAGTTCCATGCACCAGTTCCCATCCCCAGTGCTGGGGCTGTAAGCAGCAATGTCAAAGTGCAACAGCAAAGCAAGCAGGCTGCAGACCTGAGAGCTGGCTGTGCTGGGTCTCACAAACACAAACCAAGAGTCCAATAACAGGATTCTGTTTGGTATACGAGAAGCAGCACAGCTGCAGAGGGGATGTGGAAGAGTCAGGCTCTGTGCCTGAAGTTCATTGAGTGGCCTGGGAGGGATCTCAAAGATCATCCAGTTCTAACCAAGCATATGCAGGTGGAAAACCAGATCCTGATCCCCTTTTAGGGAAACGCCTCCAGTGGCTCTGGGATGTGAAAGAGATTTAGGATGGGGATCAGACAGAGCCCAGCGGCGTCCTGATCCCCATGTGGCTGTCCCACTGCTCTCCCTCAGAGCCTCCTCCTGATGTCAAGAGCTCAAATTGGAGAGAAAAATGGGATCTCAGCTGCCCTTCCTGCCCCATCCTCATCTCTGAGAAGCAAAGCCCTCCACCACAGCCGTTTCTCCCCTTGAGGAATGAATTTCTTTCTTGTTCTCCTCAATTCTTTATCACTTTCCTCTCTTTGTAAGCAGCCCAGGATAAGTCCAGATGCAGGCTGACCATGCCCAGGCAAACCCCACAGATGTGCACAACGGATGGCACAAAGCAATTTATATATCAAAATAATCTTCACAGCTCCCACCAATGCATGCCTTACTAAGAGAGGGATGAAGAGCAGAGCATCCTTTTGCCCCCATCCCAACATCCCCCTTCCCAACCCACCGTGTCACAGCCACCCGTACCTTTCACAGCCAGGAAAAAAGATGCGGATCCTCACCGCATAACCGCAGCCCTGGGGGTAAATCCCTGCTGCTCAGCTGCCCGCAGCCCTGCAACAAAGCCAAGGAGGAGGCGATTATCCCTGGGCATCTCTCTGCCAGGCACAATGCAGCCACAGCCCGGCTGGGCATTCAATGCTGCCATTGTTCCCCCTCCATGCACGTGGCATGGACCCTGGGAATAAAAAAAATACTCCAGGGGTGCAGCAGTAGTTGGAAAATGGGGCTGAGATGGGTGAAAGAGAGGGATGGCCCCTTTGGTGTTGGGAGGGATCCTTGTGGGATGCTGCATCCAAGGGGAGGACTACACCAGAAGGCAACCAGGATGGAAAGGGCTGCAGGAGAGATGGGGAAACCTAAAGGCAGCTATTGGTGCGCTGGGAGGTGGGAAGGAAGCTCCCACCTCTCTGTAGGGGAATTCCTTCTCTGACTGTGGTCAACAGAACAAGTTAAAAGCAAGGGGGATTCACAGAATCGTATGGGTTGGAAGAGATCTCTGAGATCACCAAGTCCAGCTGTCCCACTGTCCAAGACTCATCACCATCATGCCCACTCATAGAGATGTTAAGATTGGAAAAGATCACTGAGATCATCCAGTCCAACCACATACCCATCCCCACCACAGCCCTCGGTGCCACATCTCCACAGTTCCTGAACACATGGACAGTGTCCCCATCGCCACCCTGGGCATCCCATTCCAATGCAATACCACTCCCTCTGAGAAGTATTTTTTCCTAATAGCAATAAAATTCCAATAAAATATTTTTTCCTCAGCAATAAAACCAGCAAAGAGCCCAGAGGTGCTAATGCACCTCTGCTGGGGAAAGGATGCCCACTGTGAAACTGCTTTGCTTTCCATCACTGAGACTTACTTCATAACAGAGAGAAGCAGAAACATTGCGTGCCTAATGCTGCTCTGAGGACTTGGCCACTCCACCTGGACCTGGGAGCAGGACCTGGCTCCCAGAGGTCTCCTCACTGTGGGACAAAGTCTTGGTGTGCTGAGCTCAATGTGAGCACCAGCATTTGATCTTTTCCGCCTCTTTTCTTTTTTATTTTTCCTCCCTAAATCACCTCCATGACCTCTGGCAGCCGGGACGGGGAATGAAAAAGCCAGAAAACATCCTGCTCCTCCCTCCTTTCATGCCCAGGGAGGAAGAAATGCAGAGCCAGGAGGGGACCACGTCCCCGCCTGCACCAGCATCCTGTTGTACCAGTTGCCACTGCACACAATCTGAATTGCAGATGGCTCTGGGCTATTTATGGCTATGGAGCCACATCCGAGACGAGCAGAATCACAGCTGCTATTGTCAGAAAAAGCAGCACCCGTACTGAATTCCCTGCTTTTTGCACATTTTCATGCCTGAGCTCTAAGGAATTACGAGCACGGTGCTGTGTGTGCCACCCCATGGGTTGTTGTCCCTCAATCCCCATAGCATGCCCACTCAATAAGATGACCCAAATTTATCACAGTGGGGCTGCCCTCAACCCCGCTTTCCTTCCAGCACAGAAAGGGGACAAAGAGTCTCCTCCAAGAGCATCATTAGACCTGGTACCTCCAGGGTGCCTGGAGGAACAGCACCCTGGATAGAGTCCAAATGGGGTTGGTTATCCCAAACAAGGGTTAATTAGCGGTTGGGGTTTTTTTGGGACCTACCTGCTCACTGTGGAGTTCTGGGTTGGTGCCTCAGGATGAGGTGGCGGCAGTCTGTGTGCAGCACTCCCCTCGCAGTCCTGCAGGAAGCACAGGCAGACATCAGCAGCACAGGCAGGGACCGCATCCCCCTCGGAGCTGCATTACCCTCTGTATGGGAGCTGCATTGCCCCCAAACCAGCCCAGAGCATCCAGGTAGCTCCCCTCCTGCTGCAAAGTCAGCACTGGTATGGCAGATTTGGAATATCACAAAAAAAAAAAACCAAAATAAACCCAAAAAACAAAAAAACAAAACAAAACAAACTATTGGTCTTAGAACCACAGCATCATTTAGGTTGCAAAATAACCTTCAAGGTCATCAAGCCCAACCATGAACCTGACCCACAGAGCCCCACCACTATCCCCCATCCCATAGTGCATGGCCCAAAGCCCTGTGCCAGCACTACGCCCACTGGCCCCAACAGCAAAAGTTGAAGGCAAAATGAACCACAGAACGAACCAGACAACGACAGGCAAAGCAAGAAATCATGATGTTTTCCACTTTTTTTTTTTCTCCTTGCTTATTTTCTGCTACAGATGCCCAATTATTTCCCAGGATTGCTCAGCCCCCAGGGGCCCTTTTTGCAATCACATGGAAGTGAGCTTGAAAATCAGCGCTGCCTCCAAAAGCAGCAATGCCAAGAAAAGCCACGGCAAGGACAGCAATGCAGCCCATGGGCTCATGGGGGGACGCGATGATGGAAAGAGCCACGGGCTGGTGGATGGGCTTTGGGTTAATTTGGGCTGCTTGATGCTATCCTGGAGCACAGCTCCAGCATTTCTTGGCTTCCCCTCGGTTGATTTGGGTTGGGACACCCAGAGCAGGCTCTGAGGCACTGCCTGCCCTCATGTGTCCCTGCCATAGCAGTGTGTCACCACCTGGTCACTGCTGAGCAGCACCTTGGTGTCCCGTTCAAAGAGTGGAAGAGATCCCTGCCATTGCACATCTTAAAGCCACCGCCCAGACGCTGGCCTTTAAAATGGCATAGGTATCACCAGAGCCCTTGGATGAGCAGGAAAGTAGGAAAAGCTATCAGTGCATGGCCAAAAAATAGTGCAGCAGGACAGTGGCAGGGATAAACCTTCGTTCCACAGCATCTTCCTGCAGGAGGGATGTGGGATGAGGCACCAAGAAGCTTCCCAGGTGAGAAGGTTGGGAAATGGGGTGTAAACATCCCCTCATTGGCATAGGGGGGTGTTGGGTCACCGTCCCTGGAGGTGTTTCAGAACCATGGAGACATGGCACTGAGGGGTGGGGTCAGCAGGCACATTGGGGTTGAGGTCAGCCCAGATGACTTTAGAGATCTTTTTGAACCTTAATGATTCCATGATTCTGCTGTTCCACAGGGCTGGCCTTATAAACACCCCCAGGGTGCCTGAGCTGCCCTTCTGGTAGGGACAGCTTCCAATGCAAGCAACAACAGAGCCAGCAAAGAACCACTGAGAAAGAGCAACGCTGGAGAACATCCCAGCCTTCCCTTGAGGGCAGCTGCTGTGTTCAGAGCATGGAAAATGACTTCTGCAGATCAATCACCGCTGTCTGATGCCTCAAAGGGCAGAGCAGACAGAGGTGGCTGTCCCCTCCTGTCCTCTCCCCCTGGGCTGACCATCTGTGGCTTTGGTGGCACACTGGGAACACCACAACAGGTGCCTCTGCTTGACCTGTTAGCAGGAGGTGACCTCAGGGTCCACACGTACTCCCCCCTCATTTGGGGATATTTGCCCCAAACCCTGCATGCCAATTAGGGTCACTGTACAAAGAGGTGGGATAGCTGCCATTACCCTTGCAGGACCAGACAATCTCAGTGGCATTTTCCTACCTTAATGATGATTCTATGACTCTACACTGCCACTGCCCCTGGCCACAGGGCTGTCCCTGCCCTCAGCATCCCTCCAGCCACAGCTCTGTCTGCTGCTGGTGCTCCCCAGGTTGCCCCCTTTAGCTGCTCTCCCCGTCACCATCGCTCCCTCATCCCACAGCGTCCCACACATGACAGCACAGGAGCAGTTCAGGAAGGGACACTTCCATCTGCTGGGATAGGGCCCTCAGGACACACCACACACCTCCAGAATGGGACACGAGCTGAGTACATGACACCCTCAGAACCTGCTTTTCTTTTGCCCCGAGTCCCGCAGTACTTTAAGGACAGAAGGTCCTCTCCAGAGCTCTGTGTACAGAGATGCTCACCGTGCCATGGCAGCGCCCGCTCCCTCCTTCACACACCACCATCCCAATGCCCACCCCATCGCTTCGCATCAGCGCAGGCATTGAGACGTTCACTGCTTCACTCCATCACACACAGGGGCAGCAATGGAAAACAGGTCATCCAATACAGCGCAGGTTATTGAGGACTTCCCTCCCCGTTACCACCATGGAAGAGCACAGCAGGAGGAGAGACCCATAGCTGAACCGGTCCTAATGACTTTTTCCCCCAACCGAGCATCGCCTTTGTCATCTCCCATCACCGGGTGCTGCTTACCTCTCCCGCAGGCTCTGCTCGGGGCTGGCAGCCCAGCTCTGGGCACCGTGGGGCTGTCGGGCCGGCTGGGCACACTGCTGGGCACGTCCATCTGGTGGCAGCTGGGCAGATCCCACGCGATGGACGGGGACCTCCGCACTGGGGCGAGCGCAGCGCACCTCCGCGTTATGCTGCTCCGCAGCGTGGGCCCCTGCGTTATTGCTGCTGTCATCTCTGCCATCTAGAGGGGAAATTTCCCCATTGCAAACATCTCACAAAGCGTTATCAGTTGGGAAAATCCTGGTCTGTTGTCACAACTAAGATGCTCAGTGCCACGATGGGGACAGCAGGATGCTCTGCTTTAGGTATGACCCCAAAATGTTCCCAAGAAGAATTTTTGTGGTCACTTAAGCAAAACTTATAACCTTGCTGCAGGGAACTCCTGACAACAGAAGGAAGAATTTGCTCTCATCTGTGACATATACACCCCAGGAGAGGCAAATGATAATTACCAGCTGTTACATTTCTAAACATTAGCGAGGTTGCCCAAGGTCTGGTTTATAGAATCACAGAATGGCCTGGGTTGAAAAGGACCACAATGCTCATCCAGTTCCAACCCCCTGCTATGTGCAGGTCACCAACCAGCAGACCAGGCTGCCCAGAGCCACACAGCCTGGCCTTGAATGACTTCAGGGATGGGGCATCCACAGTCTCCTTGGGCAACCTGTTCCAGTGCCTCATCACCCTCTGTGTGAAAAACTTCCTTCTAAAATGAAGTTCTGTACTGCAGAGGTTGCTCGAGGTCTGGTTCTGCCTTCTGCCATCCCCAACATGGAGGACTGAGTTCAGTACATTAGGAAACCTGGCATGAGTGGGACTGGAGCAGGGCAGCTGGGTAAACCAGGATGAGATATAAAGAGGATGAAACCTTAAAGAGTTAGAAGTATAAACCTGCCCTGCTAAGACATGGTGTGCAAACAGGTCTGGCACTGCACATCAGTCTGTGTTCCCTTATGGAGATGGCTGGAAGCAACCACCTGCAGGACACGAGCTCTGAAGGACCCACCAACTCTCCAGGATCAAACCCCAAATGCCTGTGTGCTCCATAAGAGGCTCCAGGACAGCCAGGCTGTGAGCAGCTGTGCTGCATCCCTGTTCCCACCTCTCACCAACCATGCTGGGCTTTGAGCACCCAATGAGGGTGCTTCAATTTCTCTAAATTTCTCCCATTTGCAGCTATAAGAGTAACCAAAAATCTACCTGCATCCAAAGTCGAATGGTACAAATATGTCTGAATTACAACACTGCTGCCGAACTAACAGAGGGAAGGAAGAACTCACAGTACTTCTCTCCTAGAAAAAAAAAAAAAATCTGTGGATAGATCATATCCTGCAACTATTCCCATCCCTTCTCGGTTTATTAAACAAATCCATCTGTTCACAAGGACTGTGGTTAGAGCAGTCAGGCTGTGCTGACGTGCTGCTCTGTGAGAGCAACAGACCCAGAACAGCACAGAGCCTGAGGAGGGCAGGCAGAGATGATCATAAATGCCCAGAGGAGTTGTAGCAGATTCACAGAAGAGAGCAGAGGGAGCAAAGGGAGGCCAATGCTTGTGACACTAACTGCCAGCAAAGATGAGTGCCCATCTGCCCACACTGCCCAGCAGCTGCAGCTCCTGCCCAGCCTGGCAGCTCTGCCCCCAGCAGCAGGTGCTGCGCTATTGCTTCCCAATTATCTGCCTGAGGTACAAACCTGGGAGAGCACACACCAAGCAGCTGGCCAACAGAAACACGAGCACGAGCAGGTTTTGTTTTCCTTCCTTTTAATAGAAATATCCTAGAATAACATGGGAGGAGGATGGGCCTAAAGGGAATGTCTCTTGGAATGAAATGCTGTGATATGGCTCAGGAATGATGTGATAAAGTTAAAACATCCAGGCAGGCTTGGCTCAGGACTTCCTGGATTCTTGGGCCTTCTGGATTTCCTGCAAGAAGATCAGGAAAACAACTGAGCACCGTCACTTTGGGGAAGCAATGGTTTCACAGATGTGGAGAGCAGAAATCACCTCAGCAGAACAGCCCCACAGAAAAGCCCCAGCTTCACAGCATCAAGGCTCCCATGTAAGCACTGGCCTTGGAACACAGCAAGGTGTGACCGAGAGGCTCCTCACAACAGCACACCCCTTCTGTGCTCTCCAGAGGAGTACCCCTGTTCTGCCACCAGTCCAGGACTGAGCTGGATCCATTTCCCACTCCTGGGCCACAAATCCACCATCATTCAGCAGCTCAACCTGGGTCTGCTGTGGGCACACTTCTGTGGCTGGCTGTGGTCTGACTGCTCAGCCTGGCAGCCAGGCCTACCCAGGAAGAAGGCAGCAAAGCCCCCCCAGGACTCACCTTCAGGAGCTGCTCCTTCAGTTCTGAATAGGCTTTTTCTAGATCATCATTAATAATGACCAGGTCAAATAGGCCAGGCTCCTTACCTAGTGAAGGAGACAAGGAGAGAGGGCTTACAGAAGAACATGCTCTTTCCCTGTGTCATCTCTCATGCACGACCTGAGTTCCTGAAGCATTTTATTATGATCATTTCAGCCACTGCTTATGCGCTTCTCTGCTAAATGCCCTTAAGGAACTGCAATGGAAAATGATGCAACATGATGCTTAGATCAAACCCAGCTAATGCCCAAACCCCGCCAGCGTTCCTCCGAGAAGAAAAGTCAGATATTTGTGCAGAAAACAGGTCCTCCATTCCCAGTGCACCCCTCTCCCTGGGCACTCTGCTCAAAGACTCCCAGACTTACTAAGTTCCAAATCTACACGGGCTGCAGTCAAACGCTTCTGTAGACTTTCTTCTGTCTCAGTCTGTCGGTCACGCAGTCTTTTTTCCTAAACCCAATGACAAATACATTAAAGAAATGCATATCCCAAATGCTGCATGCAGGAAACACCCCCAACCCGTCATCAAAGCAGAGATATCTGCTGCTGTCAGCAACAGTGGGAGTGACATAACACACTGCAGAAGGCTGGGGGCCTCAATTCCAGCCCAAACCTGTGCCCAAGCTGGGCCTAGGCTGTGGATGTCTGATCCACAGCTCCAGCTTCCAGTCTCTTCTTCTCTGTATATTCATGCCCACATTCCTCCCTGAACCATGACAGGGATTCACTTCTCCCAGAGGCACAGAGCGATCACCGCTCTACAGGATTGCACAAGAAGGAAGGGGTGTAGTTTTATCAGTGCTGCAGAGAGACAGCCTCCTTAGGTCCAACTTCAATAACTGGAAGCAAGTCTCATCACAAACTCTGCTTACCTCCCAGTGTAAGCACAACTAATGTATTTGGATCTTATAACCCAACACAAGCAACCAGACTGATACATGAAAACTGTGCAGAGAGACACGAATAACAGGGCAGGGAAAGGTTTATCACAGGGACCCAGGCTGGGCAGAGCTAACAGCTCGCTTGGAAACCTCTTCCCCACTCCCCCAGCCCCTGAGAACATATCTCCCTTCAACAACAAGGGGGGGACCCCCATGGCTTCAGAGCAAGACGCCGATTACCTCTAACCGCTTAACGGCAAAGGAAGGCGGCCGCTCACCAGGACGTCTATGGACGGAGGCTGCACGGAGATGTAGATGGGGTTCAGGTCTGTCTTCTTGATGTTCTTTACACCTTGGATGTCAATGTCCAGGATGCAGATCTGGTTCTTGGCCTGAACAGCCTGCACTGCACCTTTACTAGGGACAGACCAAACAGAGGAGGGGTCAGAGCCTCCAGCACAGCAGTGAGGTTTGGGGCTCCCCAGCAGTAGGTCTGCATAGGGCTCCCATGTGCATAAAGTGCTGCAGGAGGGAAGAACATCTGCTTTGCTCTTGCTAAGCAGTTTCTCTTTCCTTGAGTGTCCTTTGGGATCCTGGGGTAGTGCAGAGGGCAAAGCCCTGATGGAGGGTGTGGAAATGGATAACGTGACTATTCCATGAGGAGTGGATATTGACAGGATAATGAGGAATGGTTTTAAACTGAGACAGGGGAGGTTTAGGTTGGATATGAGGAGGAAGTTTTTGACCCAGAGGGTGGTGAGGCACTGGAACAGGTTGCCCAAGGAGGTTGTGGATGCCCCATCCCTGCAGGCATCCAAGGCCAGGCTGGATGTGGCTCTGGGCAGCCTGGTCTGGTGGTTGGCAAACCTGCACACAGCAGGGGGTTGGAACTGAATGATCACTGTGGCCCTTTTCAACACAGGCCATTCTAGGATCTGTGCTCGTGGCTTAAGCACAGTCCATTAAGCTCCTCCCTTAGACAAATATAGGAGCAGTCTCACCAAAGAACAGAGCAGAGAACTTTCTTTCCCTGATTTCCATACCCAGGCACTCTCCTGAAGGATGCTTAATGGATGCTATGGACTGCTCCACAAGATGCACAATCAAGAAAATTCTGTAATGATTCTCTTACGTGCTCAAAGGTGACTGTACCTTCCCATAAAGCAGGTTGTATACAACTGCCTCCAGCTTTTTCCTGAATACTTACAGCTATCCTTTGAAAAGCAGCAGCTCCATCCCTCTACCAGTACACCAGAGGTGCCTGGATTAATTCCTGCCCCATCAGGGCACTCCTTGAGCAGGATTTGTACAGTGCAGCAGGCAGGATCTCCTCCAAGACAGGGCTCAGTGGCACAACAGCAATGCACAGCACAAGGAGTTCAGAGGTGGCCACTGCAGATGTTTGGAGGGAGCTGAATAAGGAGTGGCAGCAGAGATAAAGAGAAAATGTTGCCCTACAGCTAGGCCAAAACCTGCTCAATTCCTTGCCTGTAATCAGGGCACCTCTTTGGATATCTCCTCATGAACCTGCACCTGCAAAATCTGCTCTGTGATGGAAAGAGATGTGCTGAATACAGACCGCCTCCAACGAGCACTCCTGTCCCATCCTGTGCCCTAGGATGGAAGCAAAACTCTGGCCAAGAAGGACTCCTTACTGCCAGCACTCCTTCCCCAGCTCTCTCCAGCACTGCTCCCTAGTTAGTAGTGCCCTGGGCTGGAGAAAACAAAGCCTTCACCAGCACAAAGCACCCATGGGTGACAGGCAGCAGATACTCAGGGCCACAGCACAGGTATCTGCAGGGCATGAGCAGACCAAATTGTGGTAACACAGATGGAGAACCCTCAGCCCATGAATGCCACAACCTCAGTACAACCTCCTGCAACCACTAATAGAAAGGATGGAGGCAGCATGAGCAGAAGGTGCCTCTCAGAAGGATGCAAAGAGCCAAAATGGGGAAAGTGGCAATGATTTCAGGAAAACTCTGAGCTCCAAAAAACCCCAGAGGTGAGCAAGGGAGCAGCCCAGCACACCTATGAAGAGAGCTGCTCACACCAGACAGAAGGGAAGAACAAGCTGCCATCTGCACAGCTGACCTGCATGGTGGCAACTACTGCTGTCTACAGAGATGCTGCTGTCACAGGGTCACAGAGGCACAGGGGGTGGCTGGTGGCTCTCATGATGCCATGAAGGTCCCACAGCACAGGTCACTTAAACTCCAGCAGGAAGAAGAAAACTGCAGTGATCCCATGAGACCAGCACTATGAACTATATGAATAAAAAGATTTGCTACCTTGCCCAAGGGGGCAGCAGCAAAAGCACAGACCTGAGCAGCATCCACAGCAAATCCACAAGATCTCTCCAAAAGAGCTCTTTTTTGCTATAGGCTTCACCTGCTATCAATGGGTGTCCAGCAATTCCTGCTATAAGCAATCCACTAAGAGCCAACAATAGCTCTCAGCACAGGGCAGAGAACCCCATGCCACCATCCTCACCACAGCCTGTAATTTAAAGCAGCTTCCAAGAAGTTCTGGTTTCTGTGGGCTTATCAAACATGATCACTTGACTCTTTCAGGACTCTGAAAGAAATTCATTTAAGTATTAAATATCATTAGCTAGTAAGATTTAGGGACCACAAAGGATTGGCAAAAACTTCAACTCCCCTGATAAGCACGAGGGACTCTCCAATTAGCACATATCTCATGAGAAATATCCATAGGCACTTGTATGGAAAATGTAGACTTGGATAGTTTTTTTTATATATTTTGTTTGCCAAGGGGTATTTAATATTTTGGACTAACTTCAGCCTCCCACACTGCATGTTCTGTGTGCATGTGCACAAAAAATTGAAGGAACACATACCCCTCATTCTTCTTCTCTGCTCTGCCCAGGCTTAGCCAAAACGACATACTCTGGGCTCACCAACACAACCTTGTTTTTCAGAGGGTATTCAGGTACCCCATTTCCTCCTGGTAACTTTTGACTCATGTTAGCTTTTCCACTCATGTCTGATTGAATTCCATGGGAATCAGCTACAGAAAGGAACCCTACCAGCACCCACCCTGATGGAAAAGCACTGCCATCCCTTCAAACCACAGCAGACATCTGAGAACTGCCACCTCCTCTGCACCAAGCAGCATGGATTAAGCAGGGCGCAAATGAAGGAAGGAAGCCTGTCCTACACACCATAAACCCTGGGATTAAGGAGTCTGAACTTGGCTTCTCCTTGGTGCTGGGCATCTGAGGTGAACTGGAAGATGAACTGTCAGGTTGGGATTCTCTTGCCAAATGAGCAATGCTGAAAGCACCGAGGCCAAAGCAGAGACCATTCTCCTCTAGAAGCTTCAGGGGGCCGTGGCCACATCCCTGAAAGCCTGCCCAAGCTGAGGGAAAGCAGTAATGTCAGTGCACAGTGCATTCAAACAGCACTCTCTCCTTTAAAGAAAGGCTGAGAGCTGGTGTTGTCTGGCTTGAAGAAGAGAAGGCTTAGGGGAGACTTCACTGTGGTCTTTCAACACTTCAAGGTGGTTACTAAAACCCAAACCATGCTGATAATGAATGAGCCACATTAATGGAATGCAAAGTCAGCAACCATTCCTTCAGAGCTGCACATTCTGTTTCAGGGCCTCAGGTTGATGCATCCCGTAAGGAAACAAGCTTCAGAAACTCACTCTACTGTCTCCAAAAAATTCTCAAAGAAGCACACTGAGTCCTTAAGAAAATGCAGACCTTCCTGACAAGTGTTCCAGGTGTCTGCCTTTCATTCAAACAACTAAATCTCTCAGACATACTTAACTTTCCTCCTTAGCAGGTCCTTTGCTGCAGTGCCACAATTTCCTAACAATAATTACATAAGATATTTGACTTCTAATTAACATTGTCGCTTAATGTTTTATTGATCTTCAACTCTGATGCCCAGAGCAATGCTATTTTAAAATCCACCTAATTCTTTAACTACAGTCAAAGGTGGCACACAACATATGCATGTATAATCAGCTGCCTCAGTAAAGAAGTACTCATACTCGCTTCACAATCACAGAATGGCCTGGGTTGAAAAGGACCAGAATGATCATACAGTTCCAACCCCCTGCTATGTGCAGGTCACCAACCACCAAACCAGGCTGCCCAGAGCAACATCCAGCCTGGCCCTGAATGCCTGCAGGGATGGGGCATCCACAACCTCCTTGGGCAACCTGCTCCCATGTGTCACCATCTCCAAGTGAGAGTCCTCTGAGTGAGCCAATGGAGATGCCATTCCTTCTGCCCATGGATTTACCACATTCAGACCAATAGGTAATATGGGATGTATGGACAGGAAGCTTCCCCAGGTTAGACACTTTTTCCTTCAGCACCACCTGGGCTCAGTGGTGATGGTCTGAATGCATACCTCGTCCCATACATATTTCCTGAGAACTCTGCGTGCTCAATGAATTCACCAGCATCGATTTCTTTCTTCATTTCCTCTCTGGTCACAAAGTGGTAATCTGAAAATGGGAAAAACACACAAATTAGCAGCTTGGAAGGTAAACTTCATGGCCAAAGACAAGCATGGGTGCTCAGGGCAAACACACCTGAAAATCTGCTTCAGACAACCTTGGCAGGCAATAGATATCTACCTTCTAATCAACACATTCAGCACCCCCTCTCTACCCCAACTGACCAGACACCTGCTCCAATGCTTCTGGAGCACTGTGTGGCCAGGCATGCTGCTGTGCATCCTTCTTCATGCTCACTTCCCCCCCCCCCCCCCCCCCCCCTTTCCCTTCCTTGTGCAGTGAGAAACTCCCCTGCAATCTTGAGACGTGTTATAGCAGGACTGCAAAGACCAGTGATTTGAAAGCATTTATGATTAAAGACTAGAAAGGGGAAAGACAAAGAGAGACATAAAAGGGAAGATTAAAAGAACAGAAATGATTCTCTGCCTTTTATTGAAACATCTCCCTTTCTCTTCAGAAAGAAGGCTGCCTTTGGAAATTAAATGTAAAACTCATTTTTTTCTTTCTGAAATATGGCAACAAACCAGGAAAAGCATCTTGTCTTTATCTGAGTTAATAGCTTGTGTGCAGCTGACACCTTGTTAAGTAGGTGCATTTCCCAAAACACTGTGCCTCAGATGAGCAAACCAGAGATGCTTGACTCTCAGGAAAGGAGCATATAAACAGGAGGTAGAGCGGCTGTTCCATGAGGGTGGATAGTGATAGGACAAGGGGGAATGGTTATAAACTGAGACAGGGGAGGTTTAGCTTAGATATTAGGAGGATGGTTTTCAGCCAGAGGGTGGTGAGGCAGTGGAACAGGTCGCCCAAGAGGTTGTGGATGCCCCATCCCTGGAGGCATTCTAAGGCCAGGCTGGATGTGGCTCTGGGCAGCCTGGTCTGCTGAGTGGAGACCCTGCACATAGCAGCGGGTTGGAACTAGATGAGCATTATGGTCCTTTTCAACCCAGGCCATTCTATGATTCTATGAAGTCAAGCCACTCAGTGCTCACGTACAGACTGTAGTGCTTAAACTGAGAGCCCCACACTGACACAGTGACCACGACTTTCAAAGAAAGAGTGTCTAGAAAGACAGGGAGTATGTGCTCTGCCTCAGTTAGCATTTCGCTGCTTAATTCAATCATAGTTTTGTTCTGTCCAATCCATTCCTCTTCAGTTCTTCTCTCCAGTGTACAGCTTATGCTGCAGAATGGCAGTCACTACAATCTCACGGCCACTGAAGTCAAAACCAAAAGTTATATATATTGAAATAGATCATTACTGACCACTCCCTCCTTCTGCCTACAGAAATGCACCCTATAAACATGAATGTAGGACCATCACTTACCTGCAGTTCCCATAAAAACTTTAATGTTTTCAGAACAGTAACAAGTCTGGTGAGACATGCCCAGTTACAACACACTCACCTTTGCCATTTACTTCTCCGGCTCTTGGCTGCCTCGTTGTATCTGCAAGCAAAAAACAGCCTTGGAAACTGCAGGAACAAGGAAGTAGTAGTATAGAAGACAAAAGAGCACCACACATAGAAATTAACTCAATCACACTGTTAGCTGATCGAAAATGATCAAAGCTTCTGGAATCAGCTAGTGTAAACCACAGCCATGTCCACAACTGGCCATTAATTGAAGAATTCTACATAATCTGAAAGCAATTGTGATTGTTAGGTGCACAGCAGGCAGTCTGGGTCTTACACACTGGGTTTAGCCTCCCATTCTGCTACAGACCTCCTGTGTAATCCTGGATGTGGTATTCAGATCCCTGCCTCAGTGCAGAGGAATTAGCAATATCCTACTTTGCAAAGTTATCTTCATTGGAAAAGATTAAGCAGCACCTACAGACATACTTAAAATAGCCAGGTTTAAGGAACAAGGGCAAAGTACTGCACGAAGCAGGTGAATAAGTCAGACTGCCTTTGAAGCCTGATGGAAGTCATTCAAACTTGCATTTCTTTTAAGATGCTCTGCAAACCAAAAGAAATCTGGTGGCCAGCGTGGAACACACACTCTGTGACACAATGCCAGTTATTTTATTTAGGACTGGCAAGAGTTAACCCAGTGCAGTAAGGCAATGGGATGAATGAGCTGCATATGCAGCCCAAACACTGAGGGTAATCTTTAAGGTGTCACTAAGGGAAAAGGAAACATTTGTCTCCCAACAAGCAAGTTGCCTAAGGAAAAGTCCCTGTACTGTCCTGTGGCTTCAACAGCACATAGCAACACTGTGACCACAGTGCTGCATTAAGACCCTACAGTCCCTCTCAAAATACCAAGGAGAGCAGCACATCCTTTTGCAGAATTCAGCAGGAGAGGAAGGGGATTTAAAATAATTCTGCTCATGTAAATGGATGGTTATCATACAAATCCCTCAACCTGTGCTCATTTTGTCCTAAGCCAATGTCCCTTTCCCACAGGCTCCCAGGGACAGAGAAGCTGCACTCACCCACCTGTTGTGTGTCAGAGGATGTAACATTCCAACACTGCAAGCCACATCTCCCATGACTAAGGGAGATGTTCTCTTGAGTATTTGCCAGCACTGCCTGCAGTCAGGTGTGAGCGGGTCATGTCAGCAAGCCAGAGCTATTTTCATGTTACAGGGAACTGTGTTAGATCGAATAAAGGTCCCCTGCATCATTTAAAGACACCAAAAGCCCACAGATACATGCAGGCAAAGAACAGAAGCCTGTTATATGGGACACAAATAGAGGTAGAGAGCTGGGCTCTGGGATTGTAGCCTCAAACTCCTTCACTGCCCGTCCATCAGATACTCACGAGAGACGCTGAAGCCAAAGATGTTCTCATAGTCTTTAAACAATTTCTTTATCAAAGTGCTCTTCCCTGCACCTGATGGGCCACTCAGAACCACTGGTCTCGGTCCCTGCATGGCTACACAGACAAACAAACACATGGCTGGTTAGAAATAAGTAGAAAACATGGGTACAAGCTCCCAGTGGCATCTCAGGACCACAAGTGCCTGTCCTTTATCATTTGATACAAGTTTCTGGTGAAAAATGTTAAATTATGAGAAATCAGAAGATGAGAGCTGATGGAAAACACTGAGGAGTGCAGGAAACACCAGGGAAATCCAAAGAACAATTACATCAGCAAACCTGCCAAAAATCAAGGAAGTTGTCACCTCTGCACTGAGGAGAAAAAGCACCAGCCTGGCTCTGAGGGGCTGCATTTGGAAAGCTGATGATGGTGCTACCAGCAATGCAGCAGGACAGCATCACTCTGCTTTGCTTCTGGCCCTGGTCTGCGTGCACAACACAAGGGAAATAAATCTCAGAACCCTGCAGCAGTGCCTGGGGACACAGGCACCAGCAGGCCACAGCTGCACTCTGCTGCACAAACTGCAGCTCGAGGTGTGGCAACAAGCATGAAGGGTTTGGTCCCAGCAAAGAAACAAGGCAGCCTTGGATTACACGGACCTCTCTCTGTTGTGTCTTCAGCCAGAAGAAAAAGAATGGGTGTTTTCATGCACCTGCCCCACTGGGGAGGGAAAATGGTTAATTATTAATATGTGAATTAGGAAGAAATTTCTGTAGTACAGTGCAGGGTTTTCTCTGGGGACTGTCATCCACCAGTAGCAACTGGGCAGCTTCTAAGGCAGAGGTGACGCTAAAAGCAGGAGAAACCCAACAGGTCTATTTTTCCTATTTAAAACCCTCTCTTTTCCACAAGCAGTGAAGCCCCCAAAAGGCATCCCTTTAGTCTGGCCCAAGGAACATTCAGCACACAGACAGCATAAAGCCCTTCCATTTTAAATTAGATCATAGCAATGTCATCCTGACCTTACAAATCACTTTTCAAAGAGCCTTAAGCCACACACAACCTCTTACAAAAGCAGATGCTGCCAGGGATGGTGTGGCTGGCTTATGCGGCTCTGCTGCCTACCTGACCCGAACCAGGTCCCTCCTTATCCCCAGATCCTTGCTGCATAGCTCTGTTATCTCACACACACCTATCAAGCAGCATTAAAGCCAGCAAATCACGAGTTCTCTGCAATCCAAGCCTGAACAAAAAGAAAGACACCCAAAGACTACACAGACATCTAATGCATACATGGCCATAAGAACACCTAAGTTCAATCACCAGCTGTCAAGGAACTGTTTTGCTGCTGCAGGGTTAGTCCCACCATACATGCATCACCATGCTGCTGAATGAGGCTCCATCATCCCAAAAAGAAAGTATAAATGATAAACTAATCTTTAGGAAGTCCTTTTGGATACAGACCTGTGCTGTTCTTCCCCGAGCCTCTGGTAATTTTTAAACAGCTCAGGTTTTCCCTAACTGCTCAATACAGAAAACAAACACCCCCCTGCACCACCCCACCAAACTCCTACTCAGTGCCTGGAGCAGGGAAGCAACACTGCTCTTGCTGACTTTTCTGAAGCATCTCTGTCTCTCCTTGTTCCTCCCACCTATAAAACAGCAGGAGAACATCAGTGAACCCTGAGCAACAGAAGAGAAACACCCCAGCCAGGATGCTGCTCACCTCTCCTTCCCCTGGAAACTTCTACCCTCTATCAGGCAAAAAGGAATTTAAAGCTGCTCAAATCATTTGTGATTATTTCATCCAAGCCCAGGGAAATTGGGAAGGAGTAACAAATAGGCACAGTACCCACTGAATGCTGGCTTCCAGTGCACCCCTACCTTTTGCTTTTGCTCTCTCTCAGCCAAGTCCAGCTCCTCACAGTGGTGACAGGTTCTCAATCTGAGCGGGCAGGCAGAGAGTTGAGCTATTTGTGAGCTGCCTAATTACCACGCTGCAATTTTAAGACAGCCAATGGAAATTGCTCGCTGATCTTTAATCTCCTCTTGTACTTTCTGCTCTGTTCCCTGCTCTCCTGGCAGGTAAAGTCACAGTCAATCACCATTAGCAAGCTGATGGATGCCAGCACTTGCTGGCATGGCTGTGGCACGCACACACTGCCTTTGGGATTACACCTTCTGCAAAAAGTGTTCTTCTTTTGGACTGAAGTTGGCATGGGTGCTGCTTCCAGCCACTGCTCAACCTCAGCTCAGTGATTAACACAACTGTCCGTAATGACAACAAATTCCTTTCCTTGCCCAAACCTCCAACCAGCACATTTCCAGCCCCTCTGCAGTGGGACATAGCACATCACCCAAGCTCTCTGCCTGGAACTGCCCCACTTTGGCTAAAATACCGCACTCAAGGTGTCTGACCAATGCAGTGGCCTTCTATGATGGAGCAATGGCACCAATGGACAAAGGAAGAGCAACTGATAATGTCTATCTGCACTTGTGCAAGGCCTCTGACGTGGTCCCATACCACGTTCTTACCTCTAAATTGGAGAAAGATGGATTTGAAGAGTGTTAGGCAGGCTGTTAGGCAGATAATGAATTGGTTGGATGGTCACAGTTAGAGGGCTGTTGTCAATGGCTCTACATCCAGGCAGAGGCATTGGGCAGAGGAGTGACCAGGCTTCACATCCCCAGAGAATGCCTCAACCTGGTCAACTTCAACCTATAACTCCAGCTTTTGTGTTTCCACAAGCTTCCTTTAAACCTACAGCCTCCAAAATCTTCAGTGGACAGGACTGTTTCCTTAAAGTCTTGCAATGGAGGCTCTTGACCTCATAACACACCCCTCCATCAGATGCCAAATGCTCTTCCCAACCAGGGTAAATGCCAAACCTCTCCAACACCCAGTTTTCCTTTTCTGGACATCTGGGTGTTAAGAATCTTGCACCTGTGGTGTTATTGAACTGAAAGCCAGGGGTGCCAGCCACTTGCTGAGGTCCTGGTTTGCAATGAAGGCTGCTGGCACTTGGCTGTGAGGAAGGAAGGCTGCAGGAGAACCAGTCAAGGATGGCTGAGTGGGAAGCTGTGCCCTGAGGACCTGGATTCCTTTGTGTCTGATCTGTGTGACGTTCTCCTCCACGTTCTGCAACCCCTCCCTTTACTTTTTTTTCCCCACAGAAATACTGAGAAGTGAGAAGAGACAGGTGTTGCAATCACAGGTCTCACTTCTTTAAAAAGTCTGAAAGTAAACTTAAGGACTGACAGATGTTTAACTCCTGCCTCCCTCAAATGTATCCCATCTTCTTTGCTAGAGACCTCTGCAGCCAAACAAGACAATTTACAGGAAAGCATCCCAACCATTTTCACTGCCAGTTGAAGAGGCTGAGCCCTTTGTGTGCAGCAAACAGTGAGCATCCAGCTGACAAACAAATCCACATAGCTGTAGAACAAAACCAGCTTAGCACTGGTTTTATTTTTTCATCCCTTAGCTCAGATTTTGGCACTTTCAGAGCAGTTGATTCCCAAACATAAAGGATCTCTCGTAAAGTGGTTTTAAACCCAGCCTAACCACCATGGGTACCCAAACCCACAGCAGTGTGGTTTTGCAGCTGCAGATTAAGGCTACAGAGATGCTGTTAGGCTGCAAAATGATACAGGGCGCAAACAAGAAGCACACAAGTAACCATCCCAAAGGCAGGGAGCAAATCTCCCTCTGGTCCTGTTTGCTACACTGAATTTCACCTGGCAGGTGGAAAGCCATCCAGCAGGACAAAGGCCAGACATCACAAAGAGTTAAACATAATCAGTACTGATTAGCAAAACAGCTTTGAAGAGAAGGTAAAGCCCCTCTACAAAGGAGAAAAGCAGCTTAAAGGACAGTTTGTCGGGAGCCCCAGCTAAGGTCTCCTGGATTAAGAATAAAATCTCATTCCCTATTTTTAGCATGTTCTCCATGAACTCCCTCCTTTCCAACTTTTAGGACTGATTCTTAACAGCTATTGGACACACAGTCATTAACCAGGAGCCACAGGAACCATGCAGAACAGGGCTAAGAAGAGAGGCTGCCTGAATGCACTGTGGGTTGTTTTAATAAAAGGCATGACTTGCTTTTACCCTTCCTCCAAACTTTTTTTTTGCCCTCTTGAATGGCTCCACTTGAGGCACATGAGAAGGGTAGCTCTCTGCTTGCATGGAACCACACCTGAGCACGAGCCCAGCAATCGAGCTGTCTCACCAGCCAGGTGAAACAAGTGGTAGAACCACAGAATCACCAAGGTTGGAAAAGACCTCCAAGATCATCCAGTCCAACCGTTCACCTATTGTCAATAGTTCTCCTAAACCCTGTCCCTCAACACAGCATCTAAATATTCCTTGAACACTTCCAGGGTCAGTGATTCCACCACCTCCCTGGGCAGCCCATTCCAGTGTCTGACTACAGAATCACAGAATGGCCAGGGTTGGAAGGGATCATGAACCTTCAACCCCCCCTGCCACACGCAGGGCCACCCAACCTCCACACTTCATACCAGCCCAGGCTGCCCAGGGCCCCATCCAATCTGGCCTTGAACACCTCCAGGGATGGACGGGGCATCCACAGCCTCTCTGGGCAGCTGTTCCAGCACCTCACCACTCTCACAGTAAAGAGCTTCCCCCTGACATCTACCCTAAATCTTCCCTTGCTCAACTTCAAACCATTTCCCCTGGTCCTGGTGTTATCTACCCTTTCAATGAATTGACTCCCCTCCTGTTTGTAGGCTCCCTTTAGGTACTGAAAGGCTGCAAAGAGGTCACCCCACAGCCTTCTTTTTTCCAGGCTGAACAAGCCCAGCTCCTTCAGCCTGTCAGCGAGGATCCAACACAGCAGTGCTGCTAGTCAAAAGCAGATTCAGTGCACTATCTCCTGCCTTCGTTAATTCTATATGGGGATTTCTCTGACCCACAGCTGGCAGTTCATTCTTCCTTCCCAGAGAAGCACTGACAGGAGCTGAGCAGCCCCATGCAGCTGTGCCAGCAGCTGGCAAACATTTTAGTGATCGTTTGCAGGTAAAAAGTGCTAATTTAGAATCATAGAATCACTCAGGTTGGAAAAGACCTTAAAGACCATCAAGCCTAACCACAATCCAACCATATTTCCCCAACTCTAACAACCCTCTGCTAAATCACATCTCTAAGCACCACATCCAGCCTGCTTTTAAACACACCCAGGGACGATGACTCAACCACTTCCCCGGGTGGAGAATGCCCTGAAAGAAGTATCTGAAGAGAGCAATAAGGTCTCCCCTCAGCCTCCTCTTCCCCAGACCAAACAGCCCCATTTCCATCAGTCTCTCCCCACAGGCCACATTCTCCAAGCCCTTCCCCAGCCTTGTTGCCCTTCTTTGGACCTGCTCCAGCACCTCCACGTCCCTTCTGTACTGAGGTGCCCAAAACTGAACGCAGAACTCGAGATGAAGCCTTTTCCCAAAGCATACGTGGCTCCCCGGCAGACAGGCAGGGTACGGCTGTGCTCTGAGCGCCCTCACCGACCCGAGGAGGCCCCAAACCCCTCACACACAGCTCCCTCGGGATGCCGACCCTCTCCCCTCGCTCTCGTCGCCCTCTACCCGCCCGTTCTCCCCACGCAGAGCCGCTCCCTCACGCCGCTCACCCGCCGCCCGGGCGATGGCCCCGCGCAGCCGGCTCCAGCTCATGAGGGGAGGGCGGGGGGGGGAGGGGCGGAGCGCGGCGCTGGGGGTTTCCGGCAGCCCCTGCTGACGTCACGCGAGGCGGCCAGGCGGGAAGCTGCGCCGCTGGGTGAGGTCACGTGAGTGGGGCAAACCATGAGCGCGGAG